CGGAGGCGGCGCGGCCAGGCCGCCGGGCGCCTATGGACGCGCGGAGCCCGCTGTCTCCCCGGGCCAGTGCGTTCAGCATCGCCTCTCTGGTTGCAGCTGAGGCCGCAGAGCGCACCGCCAGCCAGGCGCTAGCCCCCGGCCCCCGGCCCTTCGATCTGGCGAAGCTTCCCCGGCTGCCAGGATCCCAGGCCGGGATGCACTTCAGCGCTGTCACCAGGGACATGGAAGGTGAGCCCGGTGGGCGCATCTACACTGACTCGCCCTCCAGACCCCTGTCCTAGCCGCTGCCTTGGGGCCCCAGTCGAGAGAGTCGGCAAGGCTGGGGCATCGAGTGTGTGAAGGGGTCGTCGAAGGAGCGGACTCCAGGTTCCTGGCTGTGACGCCAGGACAGAAAGGAAGGGCGAGCAATACTCCCTGGGGCCTGTCCCGCCGTGCCTAGCAGCCAACTCAGGGTCTCATCTACAGAGATCGCCCCAGAAGAGGGCGAGTGAAGTCAGAGGGAGAGCAGCAAAGGGAACTAGAGAATGGTGAGCCCAGGGGGCTTCCAGGAGGGGGACGTGCGCGTTGGGGGGCGGGAGGGGGGCGTCGATAAGGGAGGAGAGTTACAAGGAAAGAATACGGGAAAGAAGAGGGAGCAGGCATAGAAGGCCCAGGCAGAAAGGAGAAAGACCAAACTGAACCCGAAACGCGGAGAGCAAGAACGAAAGAGGGGGGTTTCAGTCAGAAAAGTGAAACCATTAAAAAGAGAAAAGTTTGAGAAAGACTTGCGTTTTTATTTAAAACAAAAACAAGAAAACTCAGGAGGAACAAGAGGCGGGCGTAGATAAATAAGAGAGAGAATGGGCTGGAAAGGAAGACAGATGATGGAAAAGCAAGGAGGTGAAAAGAAAAAAGGGGAGGCAGTCTCTAATAGGGGAACGGAGTGAGAGGGGGATATGAAGCCTGGTACTGGCTGAGAAACGAAGGAGCCGGGCGAAGAGGAAAGACGATTAAGAGGGAAATGTAAATGAGAAAGACAAAGGTAGACCGAGACAACTGGAAGAAGGCAGGCTGGGCGAATGAAGGGAAACGCTGGGCGGGAGGACGGCTGAGCTAGGGGCCCGCGC